AGGTGTACAGCCTGGATATAAGACCCTCACCACATCTTTAGGTGTACAGCCTGGATATAAGACCCTCACCACATCTTTAGGTCTACAGACTGGATATAAGACCCTCACCACATCTTTAGGTGTACAGACTGGATATAAGACCCTCACCACATCTTTAGGTGTACAGCCTGGATATAAGACCCTCACCACATCTTTAGGTGTACAGCCTGGATATAAGACCCTAACATCTTCAGGTGTACAGCCTGGATATAAGACCCTCACCACATCTTCAGGTGTACAGACTGGATATAAGACCCTCACCACATCTTTAGGTCTACAGACTGGATATAAGACCCTCACCACATCTTTAGGTGTACAGACTGGATATAAGACCCTAACATCTTCAGGTGTACAGCCTGGATATAGGACCCTCACCACATCTTCAGGTGTACAGACTGGATATAAGACCCTCACCACATCTTTAGGTCTACAGACTGGATATAAGACCCTCACCACATCTTCAGGTGTCCTAGCTGAAAGTGGTCAACGAAAGAGAATTTGAATTTGAAATTCTTCAGGTGTACAGCCTGGATATATGACTCTCACCACATCTTTAGGTGTACAGCCTGGATATAAGACCCTCACCACATCTTTAGGTGTACAGCCTGGATATATGACCCTCACCACATCTTCAGGTGTACAGCCTGGATATATTACCCTCACCACATCTTTAGGTGTACAGACTGGATATAAGACCCTCACATCTTTAGGTGTACAGCCTGGATATATGACCCTCACCACATCTTCAGGTGTACAGACTGGATATATGACCCTCACCACATCTGTATCAGCATAAGTGATGTGGTCAGTATCACGCCCCTTTACTTCCCAGCAGAATTCCTGTGATCCGCTGAGGCTCTGCAATTCTAAGTGACTTAAAACACAGCAATCCTAATAGGGCCTGGAACCACTGATCATCGGGCAGATGGGAAGTCAAGCGAGCTGTTACAATTCCAGTGCCAGTTAACAGAAAGTTACAGAAATAGAAACACAGTCCAGTGCTGACTGGAAACAGATGACTGCCAGTCTGTACTCAGTCTGCTGCTGACTGATACAGAATTGCCAAAAAATAAACACATGTAAGTCTATGTATAATCTATTGCTGGTTGATAAACGATTGTGGAAATAGAAACAGGTAAATTATTTACAGAAAGAATGTAATTGATTCTACAAATAATGTTCACATATACATGAGATTCTAAAAATGATGTTCATATATACATGAGATTCTATAAATGATTTTCATGTAAATATAACATTCTACAAATGAGATTCACATATACATGCGATTTTACAAATGATGTTCAAGTACACATGAGATTTTACAAATGAAGTTTACATATACATGGGATTCTACAAATGATGTTCATTTATACATGAGATTCTACAAACGATGTTCACACACACATGAGATTTGACAAATGATGTTCACATACACATGAGATTTTACAAATGATGTTCATGTACACATGAGATTTTACAAATGATGTTCACATATACATGAGATTCGACAAATGGTGTTCACATATACATGAGATTCTACAAATGATTTTCACATATACATGAGATTCTACAAATGATGTTCATGTATACATGAGATTCTACAAATGATGTTCATGTATACATGAGATTCTACAAATGATGTTCATGTATACATGAGATTCTACAAATTATGTTCACATATACATGGGATTCTACAAATTATGTTCACATATACATGAGATTCTACAAATGATGTTCACATATACATGAGATTCTACAAATGATGTTCATGTATACATGAGATTCTACAAATGATGTTCACATATACATGAGATTCTACAAATGATGTTCACATATACATGAGATTCTACAAATGATGTTCACATATACATGAGATTCTACAAATGATGTTCATGTATACATGAGATTCTACAAATGATGTTCACATATACATGAGATTCTACAAATGATGTTCACATATACATGAGATTCTACAAATGATGTTCATGTATACATGAGCCATCACAGTACAGTGATTAATCCTGCAGTGATGAGCACATCATGTCCGATGACAATGATTATGAGTTCCCCAGGAACTGGGAAACAACATGTCATGTTATATGATTAAACTGGCCTAAATTCATTTTAAAAAATTAAAAATAAAAACAACGGTCAGGAACTTTCAGAACTACCTGTCTTCGATCCTTTTCTTTACCTTGAAACTGACTTCTACCACAGCTGTATCTTACAAAGAGAGGCCCAGCAAGTCAAGTAATAATTACAGCATTATGGTTCTGGCACAGCAGTCAAATGTGTGGTTCTGTCAGTCAAATGTGTGGTTCTGTCAGTCAAATGTGTGGTTCTGGCAGTGAAATGTGTGGTTCTGTCAGTCAAATGTGTGGTTCTGTCAGTCAAATGTGTGGTTCTGGCAGTCAAATGTGTGGTTCTGGCATTCAAATGTGTGGTTCTGGCAGTAAAATGTGTGGTTCTGGCAGTCAAATGTGTCATTCTGGCATTCAAATGTGTGGTTCTGGCAGTCAAATGTGTCATTCTGACATTCAAATGTGTGGTTCTGGCAGTCAAATGTGTGGTTCTGGCAGTCAAATGTGTCATTCTGGCATTCAAATGAGTGGTTCTGTCAGTCAAATGTGTCATTCTGGCATTCAAATGTGTGGTTCTGGCAGTCAAATGTGTGGTTCTGGCAGTCAAAAGTGTGGTTTTGGCAGCTGAATGTGTGGTTCTGTCAGTCAAATGTGTGGTTCTGTCAGTCAAATGTGTGGTTCTGGCAGCTGAATGTGTGGTTTTAGTCAAATGTGTGGTTCTGGCAGTCAAATGTGTGGTTTTAGTCAAATGTGTGGTTCTGGCAGCTGAATGCGTGGTTTTAGTCAAATGTGTGGTTCTGGCAGTAAAATGTGTGGTTCTGTCAGTCAAATGTGTGGTTCTGTCAGTCAAATGTGTGGTTCTGTCAGTCAAATGTGTGGTTTTAGTCAAATCTGGCAGGCAAATCTGTTGATCTTGGCTGGTGATGTGCTCTATGCTAAGAATCTTTGGAACCAGCTCTGTTTCCAGGAAAAGTATCTTCCCCAGCTTACTCGAACACAGCCCTTTACAAATTAAATGTGACCTGCTAATGTTGGTCCTTCCCAAGCTAACTCAAACACAGCCCTTTACAAATTAAATGTGACCTGCTAATGTTGGTCCTTCCCAAGCTAACTCAAACACAGCCCTTTACAAATTAAATGTGACCTGCTAATGTTGGTCCTTCCCAAGCTAACTCAAACACAGCCCTTTACAAATTAAATGTGACCTGCTAATGTTGGTCCTTCCCAAGCTAACTCAAACACAGCCCTTTACAAATTAAATGTGACCTGCTAATGTTGGTCCTTCCCAAGCTAACTCAAACACAGCCCTTTACAAATTAAATGTGACCTGCTAATGTTGGTCCTTTCCAAGCTAACTCGAAACACGGCCCTTTACAAATTAAATGTGACCTGCTAATGTTGGTCCTTCCCAAGCTAACTCAAACACAGCCCTTTACAAATTAAATGTGACCTGCTAATGTTGGTCCTTCCCAAGCTAACTCAAACACAGCCCTTTACAAATTAAATGTGACCTGCTAATGTTGGTCTTCCCAAGCTAACTCGAAACACGGCCCTTTACAAATTAAATGTGACCTGCTAATGTTGGTATTTCCCCAGCTAACTCGAACACAGCCCTTTACAAATTAAACGTGACCTGCTAATGTTGGTCCTTCCCAAGCTAACTCGAACAGCACTTGCCAAATATGAGCCTTAGCAAACCACAGTTGACCTGGTAATGGTGACCCTTCACAAGCAAACCCAGAAAGGACCTGCCTATAATCTGACTATTAACAAAACCCACTTGACCCGGTAATGGTGACCCTTCACAAGCAAACCCAGAAAGGACCTGCCTTTAATCTGACTATTAACAAAACCCACTTGACCGGGTAATGGTGACCCTTCACAAGCCCAAGATAATGTGAGCAGGTCCAAAATAATGTGAGCAGGTCCAAAATAATGTGAGCAGGTCCAAGATAATGTGAGCAGGTCCAAGATAATGTGAGCAGGTCCAAGATAATGTGAGCAGGTCCAAGATAATGTGAGCAGGTCCAAGATAATGTGAGCAGGTCCAAGATAATGTGAGCAGGTCCAAAATAATGTGAGCAGGTCCAAAATAATGTGAGCAGGTCCAAGATAATGTGAGCAGGTCCAAGATAATGTGAGCAGGTCCAAGATAATGTGAGCAGGTCCAAACCAAACTGAAATAATCAGATAATCAGTTGCTGGCAGACTATAGATAGATACATTTATTATATGTGATCTTTGTATATATAAATAGATACAAAGATCACATATCTCTAAAAGCACATGAACATCACATGTTTGTTGGTATTTTGATAGGGTTTTTCACTTGAATATTCTTTCTTCACTCACCTGAATATTCCTGCAGCCTCCCGCCCCCCCCCCCCAACCCCTCTCCCGTGTTATGGGTAATAGTAACGTTCAAACCTGAACCACTGTCGCCAGGAAGTCAATGACAATATGGCCCTCAACTGCACTGGGGGTGGGGAGGGGGTGGGGGGGTTATTATAAAAATTCCCACTAAAAAATTTAGAGCACTGAAAGTAGCCTGTCCGAAACTGTGAAATCAGATAAAGTCCCAAGATATAACTATGTAGTACCACTCGATGCATTATTCATAACAGAACTTTGCCTGCTCTTCTTCAATTTTATATATACACTTATGTATTTATTAAAAATCTATCAAAAGTATTTCAGGATCCTCGCCGGTGCTGCGAAGTTCGTGCACTGCGCTTAGATTCTTTGGACTCAGGCTTGAGTTTGAAGTAGAACGGAGCACTTATGGAGCACTTGTGTAATGATGTTGATCCGTTGTTCAAGCCATCACACATTGAATATTCCTACTTCTTTCACTCAGCTGAAACAAACTATCAACTATCAGAAACTTTCTGTGCTCAAAGGTGACTCAGAATGTAGACTGGTGACATCTTTGCTGACATGCGTTACATGAAACCGCTGCACTTTCTGGGGACTGGACAGGTTCTTGGACTCGTCACCAGCATCACTAGCTGCCTGGTATAATGTGCTCTCCTGGACTCCTGGAGCAACTTGGCTGTATGTGGATTTGGATAATGTGATTTTATCTGGAGACTGTGGATCAGGCTCACATCCCTGCTGTGATTGTGAACCTGGACTGAGTCCTGCTCCTTGCTGTGATTGTGAACCTAGACTGAGTCCTGCTCCTTGCTGTGATTGTGAACCTAGACTGAGTCCTGCTCCTTGCTGTGATTGTGAACCTAGACTGAGTCCTGCTCCTTGCTGTGATTGTGAACCTAGACTGAGTCCTGCTCCTTGCTGTGATTGTGAACCTAGACTGAGTCCTGCTCCTTGCTGTGATTGTGAACCTGCACTGAGTCCTGCTCCCTGTTGTGATTGTGAACCTAGACTGAGTCCTGCTCCCTGCTGTGATTGTGAACCTAGACTGAGTCCTGCTCCCTGCTGTGATTGTGAACCTAGACTGAGTCCTGCTCCCTGCTGTGATTGTGAACCTGGACTGAGTCCTGCTCCCTGCTGTGATTGTGAACCTAGACTGAGTCCTGCTCCCTGCTGTGATTGTGAACCTAGACTGAGTCCTGCTCCTTGCTGTGATTGTGAACCTAGACTGAGTCCTGCTCCCTGCTGTGATTGTGAACCTAGACTGAGTCCTGCTCCCTGCTGTGATTGTGAACCTAGACTGAGTCCTGCTCCCTGCTGTGATTGTGAACCTGCACTCAGTCCTGCTCCGTGTTGTGACAGAAGAAAGGTTCTAGATTCTGTAGAAGAGGAAACACTGTCGTGCTTCAAGGTCTGCAGACCGCCCACTGAGATGCTGATGGCATCTGTCAAAGTGCCTGAAATTTGATTATCAATATCAGACGCCTGCATCTTTGGGACAGCTCTTGTCGAAGGCATTAACGTATAGCTTGTTTTATTTTTGAAAAAGTCTTCTTTGGCACGAGCTATTAGTATTTTTGTCTCAGATAAAGGTTTCTCCAGAGAGCTCTGTAGTATTTCTGATGATGACACCAGCTCTGTTGCAGAATCTAAACTAAAGAAGACATCAGTGTGATCCTCAGATGCAGTGGATACGAGAGTATTTCGCTTTGTTTCATCGCTGTCTGATATTACTGTGTCAGACCCAACATCCAAATCTGAGGAATCTGAGCTGGCTGGATTTTCTGAAGATGATTCCCCTGTCTGTCTGTCAGGAGACCTGTCACCTTGTCTTGTGGTCTGTCTGTCAGGAGACCTGTGACCTTGTCTTGTGGTCTGTCTGTCAGGAGACCTGTGACCTTGTCTTGTGCTCTTCAACAAAGGTGCCAGTGTTTGTGGAGTCATTCTGAGGTCTGGGTAAATACTACTGTCAGTTCTACTTGTAGCTGCTGCCTTTTTGTGATAACGTGTTCCATCGGCTGAGAAATGCCTTAATCTCTTCTGATTTAGAAGAGCTCCACTGCTGCAATGGCCATTTGACATACCGCTACTGTTGGTGTCTTTAAAAATTTTGCCACCTGATGCTGAGCGAGAAATTTTCCTTCTTTCAGCCCAAAGTTTTTTCCTATCTGTTGTGAAAGACTGCTGGCTATCCTCCTCCGAATCACTGGAAAGAGACATGGTGCAGCGTACCGATGGCAGGCTGCCGACTTTGTCAGCCACTCGACGGTAAGTAGGGTTGGACGCCGATCGTTTTCTCATAGTTGCTGGAGTATCGCCGCTGGCTCTTCTATGTCGTGGCTTTTTCTTCTCAAACTGCGGCAGCCTACACTCTTTGTGCAGTTGCTTCTTGAAAGGCAGGGTACCGAGCATTTTTGCAGTCAGTTCCCCTGATCTCTCGGAACTCTCCTCCTCCAATACAACACAATGTTCAGCACTCTTGCTGCGTATGGGGTAATTTTCTAACAGCTTAACCTCCACGGCCAGGTCCTTGTTCTGAGTGACTTTCTGTAGAAAAGCTTTGTAAGACTGGACACTGTCATATTGACTGCCGTCAGCTTTCTGCATCAGAAGTGACTTGTAAGATGTAACAGTGTCATGGTATGGGTGTCCTTGGTTCAGCTCAATGGCATAGCCATTGTCAATCAGTCTGAATGAACTGATAGTATCATAGCATGAGCCGCCATCAGAAGGATTCCCTGAGGCTGACAGATCTCTGTTGCCATCGCTGCTGACATTCTCCTCAGTGACCTCGCTCAACTCCACATTGACTCCAGCTTTCCACAAATCTCTTCCCCGGGACCACTGGTAGATCTTCAACAAGCAACACAAAACAAAAATAATAACAGCAACAATGGGCATGAAAGTTAAATTAGGCATTTCCTTGTGCTCAAACCTGAAGGTCCACCTTGCTGTATCGTACTCCCGAGATGAGCCACTAAGTTGCACAGATCCTTTAGGTAAACTATACGAACTATTTGATACTCTAGTCTGCACGTTTCCACTCTTGTGCAACAAACCCATAGTAAAAATGCCATTCAGAAACACCGGATGAAATAAAAACCCATCTTACAAGATCAAATAACTCTCATAAACACAAAATCTCTGGAATGACAGTCATGTCCCTTGTCAGAGACAATATGGCTACAAGCTACAGCCAACAACTGAAGCTAACTGACAAGTTTGGACAATTTGGTGAACTCTACAGATACAGAATAGACTGTTAAGTATAGCATTGTTCTCAACATTACAAACAGTTACAGGATTTCTGTACAATTGTCAATTATTATAAAGCAGATATAGCACACAAAAAATGGCCAACGGTTTGTTGAAACAAATCTGGCTATCACAGCTAATAAAGCATTAATAAAACATTTAAAAACACAAATGTGGCAACTTCATCAGAAAAAACACCTCACTCAAATGTCCGTAAAAGTGACCAAACCCTGACGCACGTGACTCACCTCAGTTGTATAATGCTGAAATCATCAAATTATTCTTCATACAAGCAAAATGCCCACTTAATTTTTTAGTGTACAAAATGTCATCTGAATAAATGACAGTATAAACATGTAATATCATCAGTGTGTATAAATGTTATTGCCTGAAACAAATAAATAATGAACTGAATACGTTTTATGTCATGGCATCTTCCAAACAAAACCAGAAAGCAATCAAAGGACAATATACTGTTTCCATTATTGGATTCCAAAAGGAAACAATAATTAATTAATAATGATTTACTACATTAATACCAATGAGTCCAGCATCTCCCTTCTACCGGCTAAGTTATCAACGAAAAGCCTACATCATGACAAACATAAGAAAGCTAGATAAGTCAGTGATGGTTTACTGCCAAGATACTGGTATCTCACACCGGGGGCATGAGTTCTAAACCCTGAGAGGCCAAAGGATTTTTTTCCATCAGATGTGAAAATAGAATTGAATCTGGCATGTGTACCCTGTGGTGACAACCTGGCAAAGTGACTGTTAATGTTCAGTTCTCAATAAAGCTTTTCTGGCAAGTGCCAAATTTTGTATTCTAGTTGAATACTGTTAGGATAATAGTAATGCAGATTTACAGATGATAATAGATTTATAGCGCAATGACTGAAGTATCTTTATAGTCTAATGATTGTGGTGGATCTGTAATCTGCTGATGGCTGAAATCTGTCTACAAGCAAGCAATCATTGATATTTCACAATCTACGAGCTAGCAATTTCACAATCTACGAGCAAGCAATCATTGATATTTCACAGTCTACGAGCAAACAATCATTGATATTTCACATTGAGAGCTCTATAAAACTTCACCAAATATCAAAACAGAATGTCAGTGATGTGTGATTCACCTGACCTGTGATGTATTGATCGACTTGACCAGTGATGTGTCGATTCACTTGACCATGATGTGTCAGTTCATTCACTTGACCAGTGATGTGTCGATTCATTCACTTGACCAGTGATGTGTCAGTTCATTCACTTGACCAGTCATGTGTCAATTAACTTGATCAGTGATGTGCCGATTCATTTACTTGATCAGTGATGTGTCAATTCACTTGACCAGTGATGTGCCAATTTATTTAACCAGTGATGGGTCGATTCACTCCATCAGTGATGTGATGATTCATTCACTCGACAAGTGATGTGTCAATTCACCTGACCAGTGAAGTGTCAATTCACTTGACCAGTGATGTATCAATGCACCTGACCAGTTATGTGTCAGTTCATTCACTTGACCAGTGATGAGTCAATTCACTTGACCAGTGATGTACAATTCACTTGACCAGTGATGTATAAATTCACTTGACCAGTGATGTACAATTCGCTTGACCAGTGATGTATCAATTCACCTGACCAGTGATGTGTCGATTCACTTGACCAGTGATGTGTCAATTAACTTGATCAGTGATGTGTCAATTCATTGACCAGTGATGTATCAATTTACTTGACCAGTGATGTGTCAATGCACTTGACCAGTGATGTGTCGATTCATTGACCAGTGATGTATCAATTTACTTGACTAGTGATGTATCAATTCACCTGACCAGTGATGTGTCAATTCATTGACCAGTGATGTATCAATTCACTTGACCAGTGATGTGTTAATTCATTGACCAGTGATGTATCAATTCACTTGACCAGTGATGTGTCAATTCATTGACCAGTGATGTATCAATTCACCTGACCAGTGATGTGTCAATTCATTGACCAGTGATGTATCAATTCACCTGACCAGTGATGTATCAATTTACTTGACCAGTGATGTATCAATTCACTTGACCAGTGATGTATCAATTTACTTGACCAGTGATGTATCAATTCACTTGAACAGTGATGTGTCGATTCACCTGACCAGTGAAGTGTCAATTCACTTGACCAGTGATGTATCAATGCACCTGACCAGTTATGTGTCAGTTCATTCACTTGACCAGTGATGAGTCAATTCACTTGACCAGTGATGTACAATTCACTTGACCATTGATGTATAAATTCACTTGACCAGTGATGTACAATTCGCTTGACCAGTGATGTATCAATTCACCTGACCAGTGATGTGTCGATTCACTTGACCAGTGATGTGTCAATTAACTTGATCAGTGATGTGTCAATTTATTGACCAGTGATGTATCAATTTACTTGACCAGTGATGTGTCAATGCACTTGACCAGTGATGTGTCGATTCATTGACCAGTGATGTATCAATTTACTTGACTAGTGATGTATCAATTCACCTGACCAGTGATGTGTCAATTCATTGACCAGTGATGTATCAATTCACTTGACCAGTGATGTGTTAATTCATTGACCAGTGATGTATCAATTCACTTGACCAGTGATGTGTCAATTCATTGACCAGTGATGTATCAATTCACCTGACCAGTGATGTGTCAATTCATTGACCAGTGATGTATCAATTCACCTGACCAGTGATGTATCAATTTACTTGACCAGTGATGTATCAATTCACTTGACCAGTGATGTATCAATTTACTTGACCAGTGATTTATCAATTCACTTGAACAGTGATGTGTCGATTCACCTGACCAGTGATGTGTCGATTCACGTTACAATGATGACAGCTGTGATGTATTTCTATGAAAGTTACACAGAACACCCCCATGCAGGTCTGTATGTCAGATCTGTGGATGACAATATGTTGGCATCTTGTAAACATCTAACCAAACATGTCCATTAGTGGGCAACTCTTGGCTTCAGTGAAATAAAATTACAAATTTATAACCAGGTACGGGACAGCATTCACAGGTTCTAAACAGCTATCACGGGTACTGGACAACATTCACAGGTACTGGACAACATTCACGGGTACTGGACAACATTCACAGGTACTGTAACAACATTCACAGGTAGTGGATAACATTCACGGGTACTGGACAACATTCACAGGTACTGGATAACATTCTTCAATTTTTGGTTCTGTCATTTTATGTTATTACTTCTACCATATAGTACTAATGACTGAACGAGTGCCGTGCATAAACAATTTTGTTCATGTTCTCCATGTTTCTGTCACATGAAGCAGTATAACAGATAATCAATCCAAGGATACTTATTTTTAAATGGAAATTACTTTATAAACATTATTCTTCTCCTAATGGAGCATAGGCACTCAAACAACTCAAGATAATTGATCCTTTGCCTTTGTTCAGCTCATCCCACATCCTCCACATCTGAATCTCAGTCTTCACGCTTGATTTTTTGGAGCTGGAAAGATGGTGCTAGCCTATAGTTTATAGGCATAGCTCCATCGCCTAGCTACTGAGCTGAGTGCACTATGTGACACTGTGAACTTTGGATTTCATTTGAAATGTGCCTAAAGTGATTTGTGTTGTGAACCGTAGACTGACCAAGTGCCTGTTGCCACACAACGGGTGGTAGCTTATGTGAGTAATTGTCAGTACAACTACTGATATGTTGTAACTGCCATTGATGATGAACTGCATTTCTAGTGTCATACTGTTTGTACTGGCACTTCTGACCACTGCCTCACACATTTAATGTGTGTCATGCTACGGCATCTCCAAAACTAAAACCATGGTGATCTCAGAGAGGAGAAGAAACACCAGATCATGATGGGACAGTATGCACTGAAGCAGGTCAGCCAGTTCAAATACCTTGGAGTTGTAATAGACTAAAACCGAGGCATTAAGTCTGGCTACACGAAAAGCAGCTGCTGGGAGACTTTTCCAGGCTATAAACCAAGAGTCAAGAGAAATTGGCAAGAGGACGAAAATGGCTGTTTACTGCTCTACCTGTGCACCAGTCCTGATCTACAGGTGTGAGTCATGGGCAATGACAACAGCTCACAGAAGCCAGCTTCAGGCCTCAGAAATGAGATATCTGAGAAAGGTAGTCCAAGTGACAAGAAGGGACAAAGTCCATAATCACACAATATGTCAAGATCTTGAAACCCAGGCCTTACATACAAACCTAAGTCGATTAGTCACAGTTACGATGGTTTGAACATGTATGCAGAATGGGAGAAAATCTGGCAGTCATAGGAGGCTAAGAACCAGGGAAATAGACCTCCAGGGTGACTCAGGGTCCACTGGGAAGACAAAATTCGACATTCCCTCAATGACAGAGGACTGGAATGGAACGAAGCCAGAAAGAAAACTGCAGTAGAGAAGTCTGGTGATCTCTCTGGCAAACCTCTACACTCTAGGGTAGAAGAGGAGCGACTAAGTGAATAAATAATGCTACTGGATTTGCTGATACTGCAGTCTGCGTCAATTTTTCCACAAGGTTGAATTAGGATTCGACAAAACAGCACTAAGTAAACTCCCATAAGCACTCCTCCCCATCTTCAGCAGCAAATGAAGAGTTCCAAGTCCAACGGCACCAGTAACTGTCTGATTTTCTGCAAGGTACAGTGATGAATATTCTGTGTGGTTTTGGCTAGCGCAGGAAAGGAGCAACCCGTTAAATATGATGTTGGAACTGTGATATGACCAAGTTTGTAGACCAGTCATACTTGGTGAGATCATGAGATCAGAATCATG